TTTGTTTCTGTCTTGACTCTCGTTCCTTGTTATTTTATTGCGACCTTCTTTTCTTTCCGACATCGCCGATTTTGTACTCACCTGACTATGATAGGTTGGACACGTCTTGTGGAGTTGAGGACAGATTCTAGTTACTATACTGAACAGCATATCGTGTGCTCTGGCTGATTTCGCTAACTCCGAATCACTCCGAATCACTTCGAAAAAATTAACGGGTGGTTTATAGTCTACTAAACATTATTGACATCCATTTTTGCACCGCCGATTACTTATATTACAAAATATTTCAAACTACCGGCAGTCGTCGTAACCCTTAGATCTTGCTCATGATTTTATTTAATCTACCTTTCCTTTTTATCTTTATGCCGAAAGCTCATTTTTTATCCGTTCCTTTTCCTGTTCGCCTTATATTCCGTGTTTTTACGAGACCAAAATTCACTGATCATACTTTGATGGGCGTCTCACGAATTACCGGCAATAAACTTTTATTATATACCCAACGGTCCTATGAAAGCATTCGCTCATATTGTCTCTAGCTCAAAAGCTGTGTTGTGGAAGCTGCTTTATCCCTCCCATCTGCAATCTATCTACCTATTGCTATGACATTCCTTAACTGTGATAGAATTCGTAACCATGTTGGCAAAACTTTAATCGCGCTTCGTTCTAGGGTGTATGTATGAACTTATTCAATCGCGTTGGAGCGTATTTTCAATGCGGTAATCTTTGATGGTGATAGTCGTGTAGCGTCTACAGTTCATGGGGTTAAGATGTCTCCTAGTTCATTCGACTTTTTAAAGTGTTCGATTACATAAATCACCGCGTCCGTAGTCTTAGACTTCAGGGCTAAGGTACCTGGTGCTGCCACTGAGTGGATTGGCAACCTCCTCCTACAGCTTCGGATGTTGGTGAGAAAGATTTCGGGGATTTTTCGCTGATCCAAAAAGTCCATTAGTGAAACGAAGCCCCTTCTAGGTGTTCATAGTACTGACTTTGCCTATTTGCCCGTTTCGAACTTCCTACTCTTTACCATTGGCGTTAAAACATGATGAGTAAGCGAAAGGTAAAATGGAGTTAACTTAAGCAGTGTCACGCATTCATCTGCGTACAGATCGTGAACACAGGGGCTCACATGATTGGTCGAGAGTAACCTTGCTTTACCTTCATTATTTCATTGGTTCTTCGTTTCGGAGTTTCTAGCCACTGTAATGTAGGAAGCTTTCACTAAACTGTCCCTCGCTGCGCGTGCGCTTGCTGCTTCATCCATCGGGCTACGGTCCAGACTTAACAGGCAGAAGGGCCCTGGATTGCGCATATGAATTGTTGACGGGATAATTGTGTCATGTTACCCCTACGAATTTTGGATGTTCCATATACTCATCCACCGAGGAATGCATATACGCTTGGGACACCATCTCGCAGTTTATTTCCCAGTAGTGAAACGCCCTGCTTCAGGTTTAACGTGCTCTGATATAATGGAGGAAGCATGCGAGCATCGTGCAGAGGGCATTTGGGAAGCTGAATAGTTTCCGTTATTTCGTGAGTCCTCAGGACTCACTTGCAGGTCCATTTGGGATATGATAGCCGTTTCTGCTTTTCCTGATGAAGCACAGTGAACACGGAATAGGAGAGTTAAGGTATACCCAAACTTCCGTTCCAACCCAAAATGAGAGGCCAGTTGGCGGATTGCATCTGCCGGGTCATCTGACGTTGATGAATCAGATGTTCAAGAGACGTAACCACTTGTGCCGCTATCATTCTCCATGTGCCGAAAATACTAACCCGAGGAGTTACCAGTTAATGTTGGCTAGGTGGAGAATTGCTGAAAATTTACCTCCGGGCTGGATAGTCTAGAATACCACTTTCTAATTCGTTATCTATGTCCCACACATCACTGACCCACGTTCATCAGATACAATGACCTATACTTATCTGGAGATAATGAGGCGTACAAAAACAGTGTGTTCATCGGTCACCGATGGCACATTCATCCGTGCACATGCACATACACTCTAATTCGAGCCTCCTGATGGATTCGTCGATGGGCACATTATTTTGCCAACGCACCGTAAACCGACTTCGAAGCTCCCAAAGTCATCAAGCTAGGGATTTGAGGAACGTTAATCTTAGTGCTCATTTAATTGACTAATATTTCACTATTCCGTTTCGACGGCACTGAAGCGTGTTAACAGGCTAAAATCAACCGACTGCGATTCACCAATGTGTCAGTCGATATAGTAGAGTATTTGGCCCAACCGCCTACGAACGAAGAGGCAAAATGCAACGAATACGTAGTAGCATAGCTGTCCCTGGATTACAGTTTGCATGTCGAAGGTTCACACATGACGTATTGGCTCGGCTTGTACCCTCAATCTTATCATCGTTAGATAATAAGAAAATGTGCACGCATGTTTGATCCTTTAGCTACAGCGAATCCTTCGGCTGTGCTAACCGTGCATCATTGTTACCAAGTAAAATCGTTTCTGGTATTCAGCCTTCCATAATCTTCCTGTTAAGGGATTATTTCGCCAAAGGAGGTTAAGTCAATAGGCTTGGTATCAGAAGGTGCTCACAAATTAGCATAGCGTGCGGTGTGCGTCAGTGAGCTATTCCGTTACCATTCCTATTCTCTATGAACATTGGCTCAAAACTTGTCCCAGAAGAAGCCATCTTGCTAGAGTTTGCCAAAGACCTAATCATGGGCCGGTCTAATCTCAAGCCCCTCGACAATCGCGAAGTGTTGTTCGGATAGACATGTGCAACCGTCTGGAGCCGTCCGTTTGACGCCGAATCTATCCAAATATAACGATGTCTCATTCACGTTGCATAAAGCAAATGGTTACCAACAACCTATTACGGACTATACCAACTGCCCACAGGTAATGGGTCTGAACTTCTCGATGTCAGTGAAGTAGGTGGATGTTATAGTAGGTCATGATGGATCTTGGTCACTTCATGTGAATGATACTCTCATAAACATCAGTGGAGGTTAAGATGTGCTACGTCTCACTTATCTTCCAAATCATGACAGTCCGTGTTCCAATGGCATAAGCTGCTGACTGGTTGTGAAACTCACTGTTGGTCAAGGGTGCGAATCCTGATACATCTGACAGATGCGCACTAGTGTTGACGCCCAACAGGTTAAAACTGCAGGCTAGTGCTTTTTCGCGCATGTGGACAACTATCTGATTTGGAAGATATTGCGATGAAATCTTAATTAAGCACCTTAAAGTCAGGCAATGCTATCTTTTGTCTGTCATCTACGACCGTCCTGGCATGAATCGCCACATGTGACTTAAGCTCAGCTATTGTTTCCCGCCTATTAGGTAAGTGTCTCAAAAGATTTCACGAGTGGCTGAGGCAGCTACCTCGTCGCAGTTGCATTTTAAAAGCAACTTTAGATCAAAAACTCGTATCTGCTAGTGTTAAGTCCTGTGAAATTTGTATTCAAACACGACCATGTTAACCACTCTCCGTTTAATACGCTACCTATTTAGGTATCTAGTTCCTCGATCACAGAGCAATATTTGCATGCGCCAGGGTATGCGGTTCGTCAACCATTCCATACCAATCTAGATCACTGCTTATCCGAACGCTATCAACCAGGAATCAACTAGTGAAATTTACCGGTAAGGTCGTGTTTTGTTTTACTGCTGCAATTAAGCGTCCTGCATTCCTCTTTTATTAACGTGTTGGTTGAAAATGTACTTTTTCTCAAGTTCACAAAGTGCACACTTGCTTTGATCTAAACAGTTGCAAGGGGTGAAAATCGATATGAATACGCAATTTTGGGTCCTCGAACCGGCGGCACTTGCGCTAATGCAAGTGTATCATCAGGGTGTAGAGATGGATGCAAGTAATACTCCAGAAATCCAGCGGGAGATGAATCTGACAAACTGCACCATTGAACACTGCATTTTTGCTTCTCGCATGAACTACTGTGTGTTCGTGGTGATATGTTTAACTGAGTCAAAGACGCATTCACCGGTCGATGAAGGTCGTTGTATATGGAAGTGCATGGCCAGACGCTTGGCGAGTCAAAGGTGATACAATTTTCACTTATACAGGATTAACGCTTGTCCCCGAAAGGACTGACTGCGACGCTATTCTGATGGATACCCAGTTTTAGAAGCGGGGCAATCATGCCATAAATCATAATAACAATACCAAGAGGAGTGGTTGGTGAAACCCATCAATTCTCATCCACTATCCTTGAGTATTAATGAGATCTTTGGTGCTAGAACATGGATAACCGCTATTCCCCCTGTGGAAACATTCAAAAATCACTTCCTGTGCACTGGCCTCAAAATAGACCTCAAGGTATTTCGCCGTCTCCTTGACTAGGTGATACTGACCCTAGACCTGTCATGGTAATATGAACTATATGAAGTGGCTATCCTTCGAGCCACCTGACCTATTCTTTTGTTCAAAGTATCCTCGTGTGTATCACCAAGGCGCTTGAATAGCTTCAGATGTTTTCTAGGAGGTTCATCGCAGCTAGACTGAGCCAAACAGCCACCACACCTCCAGGTGTGAGATGCGCTAATTCACGACAACTAACGTTGGCTGGGACTGCCATCACTCTGGTCCAGGGATGTAAGTTACCGTCTTCAAGATACACCGATACAGGTTCAATTCCTACTGAGCTGGAAGGAGTGCGCTTTGCCAACAAGCCACGACAGAAGAAAATAGTTATCCAGGGCTCTTCCATAGGGTGTTGGCCGCGCTATTCAGTCCATATGTGATTAAAAATACCCCGTTAACGGGTTGTTTGATGTTGAATGGAAAGTGGATATAATTGAGAGCTGTCATAAACTGCACATGCTTGTAACTTTATTTGGACGCAAAATAATATTCAGCATAAACAGACGTATGCACCTCGCTTTCAATCCTTAATGCAGCAAGTATCTTGACTTACGGCCTATGCATCAAACTGTCCACTCGTAAAACAGATTTTAGCGCAAAATGAAGCAGTTATAGCAACATGATATAAGTTTACATACCCTCGGAATACAAACTCGTTTTCTTCGTGAAGTTCGCAATCCGGAATCGATAGGTCTGTTTCGGGATTGCATTTCGAACCGCGAAGTAGAACCATTGAACGTGTTTACTTGTATGCATATCAGGCCTCAACGTCAATTCGTACTCGAACAGTCCTCTGTGGGTGGAGTGAACAGTTGGATCAATCTGTTTTCCGTTAGAAAGCATGGATTAACATTCCAGGTTGAGAGTGAGAGGGTGTGGATTATGTGTGTAGATTGCTGAGTCAAGAGTATCTTCACTATCCTAAGTTGCTCGTTGTAGCACAGTTTAGGTAGAATTAAAGATTAGCCTTCCACCAACACACTGAAAACTTACGAGTTGCATGATTGATGGACTGCGTGAGGCTAGTAAGAGGAGTGCTTTTGAGATCCGTTGCAGAGTTAGCTAATGCGCTCAAGTACCATGATCGCTGCAAACTCCGCAGGCTACATCCCCCTTGGTTGCATAAAAGTTAACAACGTATTATTACCCTAATTTTTAAGTAATCCCAGCTTGAACACCGGTTGTTCTGTCCACTTAAATAGAGCCATTTACTACTTGTTGCAGATTAGGTCCCACCGGCCTGCTAAGGGGAATTCATGAGAACGCTCACAATGGCTTCCGTGAAGGCGGTTGGCTGTTTGTGTGAGCGTGACCACTGTGGTGTATGCACATTGGAGGCCAACCAAATGTCGCCGTTGAGAACTGACGACGATTGGTCCAACCGGTGGTTTAGTCCAGATTGAAAGGATTGCAGTGGTCAGAGAAGATGGGGCCATCGCAATGAGGCCGGACCTTACAGTGGTGCGATGGTTTGTGTACCTCAGTGATCCATTGAGCCATGCTGCGTGGTGTTTTTGCACCTTCAGAGCCACTCATACCAGATTGGTCAATGGTTAGAGGCCAGACAAGCTCAGCCTCCTGGTCCTCCAGGTTGGGCGTTGGAATGAGGTGGGCTCTTTATTCCTCATAACGGACTCCTTGTAGCCCAACGCCAAACCCACTGCCTTGCGGACAGGTTTTTGAACCAAAGGTTTTGGTTGAGAACACTAATCGTTCTCCTGTCAAGGCCTGGGGAACCTGACAGTATACTGCCGACGTTATACTAGGAATCTCTCTTCAAACAAATTTCGGATGCTCTGGCCACCGCAGAGGATAATCAATGATGCCCTATCTGCAGCTGCATCGAGCTGACTGGATAGGGGTTTGGATGCTACTGCTCAAGCCCTCCCGTCTTCTTATACGACCTCTAACGCATTTCCCCCCTCATCTTCCCGTTCCAGCTTCACTTTAACCCCCCTGCTTTCAACCCCCCTATTCTCGGCCCTCCCCCACCTTGCTTCAATAGTCGCTTGTCTTTTAGTTTCAAATCACATGTGAACGCGCAGCGTCATTTCTGCCCTGTCAACAGGCCCATGTCCAAGCAAGCGGTCAAGCCCAGTTCATCGGCTTCCATTTGGAGCCCTCGATCCTCCTTCAGACTGGCATGCCTCAATGTTCGCACACTGCTTCAGATCGGTCAACAGGCAACACTTCCCCAAACATTAGAGAACCTCTCGATCGATATCTGCTGCTTATCGGTGACCCGCCTGCAAGACTCGAGCTCTGTGCTCACTCTGTGATCCCCTTCAGGTGACACTAGCACCACTTTCTCATTGCGCCTGTCCGGTGACGATGCAGTTCCGAGCACCGGCCAAGCCCCGGGCTGAAGCTACTCTGATTGACTGGATTCCAATCAGTAGCCGGATGTGTGCGGTCCGATTGGCTGGCTCGTTCAAAGCTTCGAAGTCACGCGGGACTAACTGGTGTCTATTCGTTATCGCTGCCTATGCACCGACAAACTGTAGCGATGACTCGGTAAAAGACGACTTCTATCGTCAACTGAACGAGCTCCTTAGCCACAGGAGAAGCTCGGACACTAGCGCTGGCTGGGGATCTGAACGCTCAAGTTGGAAAATTATCCACTGATGAGCTGCATCAGGGCGGCCAACATGGTGTAGGCTCCCGTAATGATAACGGTGAGCGGTTAGTTCATTTGTGTGAGGATGCTCACTTATTTCTTGCGTGCACTAATTTCCGACACAGCACCCGCCGGAGGGTGGCTTGGCGCCCATCAGCCTTGAACCAGCTATGGACGCAAATCGACCACGTTGCGAAAAGTTACGGATGGAGAGGCTGCGTCCAGAACTGTCGCTCGATTTGGGCACAGGCGTGGACACCGACGATGCACTTGTATATGCTGACCTGCGGATGCGCTTTGGCGAGCGCCCAAGACGACGGTGTGACCGCATTGACACCAGCCAACTTGCGAAGCCAGCTGTTGGGAGTGCCTATCAAAGTACGCTGTCATACGAATTGGATAAACGCTCACTGGATGCAACTGAAGGCCACTGGTCTCATATTCACCAGTCCATACTAGCAGCAGGAAAATCATCATTTGGCATGTCTAATCGCCAACATGGACACTGGGTCTCTTCACAGTCTCTGGAACTTATCGATGCTCGCCGCCATATTCCGACTGGAAGCGAACACAATGGAACTCGCAAAGAGCTCCGGGTAAAACTCCGTGCTAGCCTGAAGAGAGACCGCGAATCCTGGTGGTCTCATCGTGCATCAGAGATGGAAATGGCCGCTGCCGTTGGTAACCATCGCAAGTTATTCCAGCTGATACGGGAATCGGGCAGCAGAAGACCTGGTGTTAGGCAAACTATACGTGACAAGAGTGGACAGGCTATCCACATGTTGTCAAAACGCTTGGAGCGTTTGGCTGAGCGCTTTGAAAGGGAATTTAATCGGCCGGAATTGTTGGATTTCTCGCCTAGCACTGATCTCCCCACTCCGTGGGCTGTACTTTTGGATCCACCCACTCGCACAGAAGTGGAACCTGAGATCGAACAGTTGGTTAAATAAAGCCGCTGGACCAGACGATCTTCTTCCAGCCCCCTTCAACTTCGGGGGACTTGCTCTTGTGGATGATTTACACGAGTTACTAATCAAACGATGGGAGCAAGAAACTGTCCCAACCGACTGGAGCCGCTCCGTCATAGTCGCAATTTTCAAGGGAGGCTCACGATCGGAATGCAGCAGCCATAGAGGAATCAGTCTGATCTCCATCGCCTCCAAACTGCTTGCCCATGTCATCCTTCACAGACTGACTGGCACTCGTGAAAGCCCGATTCGCGAAGAGCAAGTCGGATTTCGTCAGGGTCGTGGCTGCATTTACCACATCTTCACCTGTAAAAAGTCGGTCCTTCAGGGACAAAACGTATATTCAGCAAACAACAGGACCAGGCGAAAACGCAGGCAGAGGGCGAGTGAAACATATCGGTAAATACAGCTAGTTGGATCCATAATTAACCATCTTTGTGAACGCATGACATTTTTCCTTTGATTCAGTCAAACAAACTCACTCCAATGCGTTCACTGTTGGCCAATCAGCATGCATGCGAGAAACGTGTGAACGTCCAATCGACTGCCGCCTTTCCTTGCGGCAGCCTAACGGCTTCTTTGCTGGGCTGGCACCACACGTTCGTTCGAGTGTATACTCCCATCACACACCTTGCGTCAGTTGTTGGAGCACCGTCACATATATTGGCGGTCTACCGTTGTCGCCTTCCTCGATAGCAAAGGTGCATTCGATTCGGTGGATAGACTTGCACTTTGGGACTGTCTACCCAGGAAATGTGTACCTGAGAAATATGTAAATATTATTCGAGCATTATATGCGCGTAGCACGGGCAAAGTGAGGGCTTACGGCAAGCTGTCGTCGCCCTTTAATATCTCCAGCGGTGTGAGACGAGGATGCTCGCTGTCACATTTCCTCTTCAACTCCGCTCATGATGAAGTCATGGAGATCGCGTTTACAGGACACGACTTAGAAGGTGTGGATCTGCTCCCAGGAGAACGACTTCTTGACTTAGAGTATGCTGATGATATTGCCCTAATCTGTGACAGCTCACAAACGTATCAAGCGGCACTGGACATATTAGCACTAGCTGTCCGTTACTTCGGGCTTTGCTTTGCACCATCGAAGTGCAAAGCGTTCCTCCAAGATTGGTCTGGACCGCCTCCTATGCTGACCGTTGGTGGGGATCAGTTAGAAGTCCTAGAAAAAGTCAATTACCTGGGAAGTTGTATCATCGCTCGTGAGATTGAAGACGAGATCACGAACCGTATAGCAAAGGCTCGGGGCGCTTTTGTTAACCTTCGCCACTTATGACGCCGGCGCGACATCACTCTTGCCCTGAAAGGTAGAGTGTACAATGTGGCGGTACGTTCGACCCTACTGTAGGGTTATGAAACCTGGCCGCTTAAAGCAGCGGACCTGAAGAGGTTAGTTACGTTCGACCACCGGTGCCTTCGCAATTTAGCTCACATCTGGTGGGAACACCGCATACGCAACGAGTGTGTCCGACGCCATGTTTACGGCCCATGAAAAGGAAATGAACCGCTCAGCACAGTTATTTCACGCACCGGGCTCCGATGGTTCTGCCACGTATTACGCATACCAGCCCACCGACTCCCGCGACGTGCGTTGTTTGCGCGCCGGAGGGGTGGATGGAAGAAGAGAAGGGGTGGCCAAGCGATGACTTGGTCGGGAGGAATGAAGGCGCCCACTTCTGAGCTGGCCTCGGTTGGAGCGTCTCGGCTCCCTGGTTGGGGTCCGAAAGACGATGAACACGTTTGGCTGGATACACTTGCTGATATGGCTAGGAGCCGACCTCAGTGGCGTTCGTGCTGTGAGTTTCTTTGTCCCACCCCATCCCTCTTAGCCTCCCCCTCCAACCATGATCTCACTATTTAGCCTTATATGATTGTACATAGTTATTTTTTGATGCACAGTAGCCTGCTGGTAGCTTACCGGAACGATGCCCATCCGTTGGCAGTAGCTCAGCCGGCTTGCACCAGTTGTGTATTTTTCTCTCCTTTTTTCTATGTATTGCGGCACAGTAGCTCAGGTGTTTCCCACTTCTAGCTAACGTGTATGATGATGAATGATGATGAGAAGATGGGGAGGCGGATTTGCCCGAACAGCAGCCAGGGAACGGCATGCGTGTTCATGAATACATTTCAACGACTGGGGACTGCCGTTCCATTAACCCATTTTTTGCTGGTGTCCTTTTGAAAAGATACTAA